ATCGCGCTAGAAAGAGCCATAGAGAAATCGGGCATAGCAACCAAAGGTCATCAATAGATGTGTACAGATATTGGCCTACGCAGATGACATTGACATAGTAACACGGACAAAAAGATACCTGATACAGGCTTTTGAAACATTAGAAAAAGCCGCGAAGACAATGGAACTGCAGGTCAACGTATCCAAAACAAAATACATGAAGGTCACGAACAGCACACAAATAGCGGCACCACAAGATCTATTCACAAAAGCACACACATTTGAAGGGGTCTCGGAGTTTATATATCTTGGAACACAACTAAATAACTATGTCTCTGACGCGACATACGCGTCAGAGACATGGACTATGATAAAAAGCGACGAAGAAATGATAGGCCGCTTTGAAAGAAGAATAATTAGGCACATATACGGAAGAGTACAAGAAACCGGGATATGACGCAGGCGCTACATTTTTGAGTTGTATCAATGCTATGAAAAATGCAACATCGCCCGGTCTATTAAAATTAATAGACTAAGGTGGCTAGGACACCTTGAAAGAATGGTCACTGGAGACCCCCAAAAAAAGATATTATATTAAGGGCCAGTAGGAACCAGGAAGAGAGGCAGGCCAAGATCTAGATTTAAAACTCAAGTCGAAGATGACTTGAGGAATCTAGGGTTCAGAAATTGGAAAGCCAGGGCGAAAGATAGGGGGGAATGGAGACAAATTCTTGAACAAGCCAAGACCCACCCAGGGTTGTAGAGCCAAAAATGATGCTAAGGAAATATGAATTTAGTAAATATCTTAATACTTTGATATTCTTACCTCACAAATTCACGAACAACAAATAATACCAATCGCGCAGAATGAATCGTCATAACCAAAAGCTCTTATTTATTCTTCAAACAATTTAAAAAACCAATATTTCCAACTTTTTATGAGACTAATACACACAAATTAGAAATGTTTGGAAAGGTTTTTAAAAACCCCGTCCGTTTTGACGTCGTACTCAGGTAGTCCATTGCACAAGTGTCATTAAAGTTCTTTTGTAGTTATCTGTGATTCTAATATTGTGTTCTGTGACCTTCAGAACGCAAACATTCCAATCGATGCCATATTTAGTCCATTTCATATTATATTTTCAACAAATACGTAGTTTAAATTATTTCCAATCATATTTATTACATAATATATATCGAAATTATTAGAAACAGAATTTTATTAATAATATTAATTAATTGATTAATTAATTAATTTATTAATGTTACATCATTACAGGTTAGACCAATTAGGATAGTTGTAGGTGTTTTAAGATGCGTTTAAAAGAAGTAAAGTACACATTGTTTCTATTCAAGAGACGAACTGGACACGGCAAGGACGAAGAAACTAGGTGAGGCATACAAATTGTGATATCTATTGATAGGAGTGATATTTATTTATGCTTACTGATATTCTATATATAGTCGATAGATATAGTAACAAGTTGGATGTGCTATAAACATAAACGCTAAATTCAGGATTGACTTCCAAATAAATCCATTTTTTTTATCAGGCAAGAATTTTTATTACCTAACTATTAGCTGTCCAATAAGTAAAGAATTTTTAACCAAAACAGTAGTGCTTCATACCTTAATATGATTAAGAATCTGTGTAACTAGAAGAAAAGCAATAACCAAAGAAATTGTTATCAGCAAGCTTTCTTGAATTAGGATCAGGTGAAGATTTTTCGATATACAAAATATAAACAATTAAATATTTTTTACTCAAATTACAAACCTTTTTCACATAAAATGTAAGGCTTTATACTGTAGCCCTATAACGGTTATCAATATTGCATCATTTTAAATCAGTTTCGTGAAGAAAAATATTTAGTAAAAAGTTTTTGAATATTATTCTTATGGACGTAAATCTCTTATGATAGGCAACACTCAATACGCATACGTATGCTTAGTTGTCTAAGTCTAGATTAAGAATTGGTTAAATAACTATTTAGAAAATGTTTATAAACTTCATCTAATTTATATAACGATGTACGTCATCGGCGTCATAGCCTGTGAAGTCACATGATACCAACACGAAATATTTAGACGGTAGGTGTGTTCTTTTTTAGAATTACTTTACCGAGTACACTGGCATTACAGCCACTAGACATATTTTATTATATACGCGTAGAAATAATATTTATAAATTTCTATTAATGTTAACTTAAAGAAATACACAATAATTTGTTTCATTTAATTTGTATAAATGCATTATGAAGCATTTTCCTCAAGAACATTTGTTCGGAACACACTGTAAATGTAATCGAACGAAGGTAAAATTTTAGCATAAATTGGTAACACTTACTTGACAGTTGCGGTGTTGACACTTTTTGTACTTTATTATTTTGAATTTTAAAGTGAATGTCTCTTGTTTAATATTTTTAACTATTTAATAAAATCTGTTCTTTTTAGAACAAAATTAGTGTGTTTTATTTTAAAAATATCATTTAAGAATTTTAATAGTCAGTGTAAAGAGATGGCAATACTGTTGCAATCATTATGTGACCTATTTGATTTAAAATGGATTCAGGATTTTTTTATGCTTTGGCAACTATGTCAACTTCGATCTCTGACGTAGATCATGACGTAAGTCGTTATCTAAATTAGATGAAGTATATTTATTATAAACTGTACATGTTTAGAATAAATTATTTTCAGCAACATCGCAAATATAGCAATCCATTAATATCGGTATACTGCTCGGCATAAGTCCTTTATTTTTCTACTTTTTGTGTTTTTGCCAATTTCTTAGAGCTGTCGTCTACGAAAAACGAATTCTTCTAAATTATTGACCTGCTTTATAAAATAAATACAAATTTAATGTCTATTAAATAGAGCTAAAAATAAGATCAATAAAAATCAGTACGTTTGGAAATAAATATTTACCTATCCTATAAGGGTTGACTAATGAACAGTATCGATGATAGTAAACTACGTTTAAGAAACTGTAATATTAGGTTTTCTTTCAACAAAAATACCAATCAGAGCGCGAAGATTATGAATAATTTGCTGAAGTTTTATTAATTTGAAAATAATTTATTATTTACAAGTTTACCTAATTCAGAACTTAATTCGATATAGATATGGCACAAATAGAAACCGGTAAAACACAAGTGAAATTTGATTTAAATGGAATTATTATTGTTTTGAAACTTGATTTTGAAAAATGAAATTTTATTTAAAAAGGGTTTAGGGTTGTGTTATATAGGTAGCAACTTTTATCGGAACGACATCAAGCGTCATAGACGGGAGCTGGTTCTTGATAACTGGTCTTCATAAGACACCTAACTCTCACTTATGGCTCCAAGTGCTACACCCCGGGCAACTGCATTGGTCTGCAGGCTAAACTAAGTGAGGGTAGCCAGATATGGTGAAAATTACACCGACCAATTGCCGGTATAAATAATCCCACGCTTGCTAATCAACGGTTCTGGGCTAAAAATGTTTGGTAAATGGTAGGGCACCTTTTTGTCCTGGGGTTGAGAAATCGATCTCGAAGATGGAGGAACCAATATATCGGTCAACGGCATAAAAATGTAGAAGGCAAGGGGAAACTACTACATTATAGATCCCCATGGATATCCCTAGTACAATCATCATGGTTTTAGAACCTAATAACGGCGTTACTGATCATGGCCCTCCAAGGGAGAAGAAGGCAAGGACTCTCAGGTCGTTAATCAACGAATTCCTTGTCCAAATAACGGAAATGAACAAATGATACTGTCCAACACTAGAATAGGAACCTGGAATGTTCAGAGAATGTTTCAGTCTGGTAAAATGCACAATTTTATTCAAGAAATGAACAGGTTGAATATCGATGTACTAGGTATTAATGAAGCCATGTAGCCTAACTCAGGTTGTTGTAACACAGATACAGCGTGGCAGTCACAGTTAATAAAAAGTCTAACAGCGGTGGAATGCTATTTCCCTATCTCAGAAAGGGCAATAGTACTGAAGTTAGTGACATTTCATGCCAAACTGAATTTGATACAATTTTGTGCTCCTACAGCGAATACGGACAAAAAATACGTAATTTAAAAATACTAAAAACTGCGATTGATGTCACGGAGAATCTCGTATAAAAAAATGTATAAAACAATCGATCCTTCTTAATACCTAGGTGTATCTCTTATGTCAAATGGATTTAAATATATGCAAATATGTTAAAATGTGTTAAAGTGAGATTATTCTTGTTTTTTATCACTTTTGCACTCTGTTTACCAAGCCTAGATAGGAAAAACAGTCCAGATTCACAAAAAATCCGGCAAAATGACCAAGAAATTGTATAAATCCTCACAGTGGTGGCTCAAACAATAAACAGGACTGGAATGTGAAAAAACATAAAAATATTACGAATAGTCTATAAATTAGGTAAATAGAGAAGACTATACATTCATTAAGTAATATGGGCCATCTCACATTGGAGTTCTTTGAATTCTACTGTCATGGTAAATTATTCCATGTTTTCCTAGTTTTTGGTTCGTAAAGTTCAAGATAAGAACAGGAACAAGACATGACTTCAAGATAAAGGTACTTATGTCATACATCCCAAAAACAAGTAAATAACTGACAGACTTATTTCCTAGTCGTAGAATTTCTTGTTTTGGTGATTCAATCTTAAAAATTTATGTTGAACTTTGATTTTGGAGTTTCCCGAGGCTTATGCTATCAAGGTGACGATCTTCTCTCTGCAACTCAAGAAATTTATTGTTGTGTTAATAAAATTCTTTCACTTTTATGCAAAATGGGCACGGAAAGTTAAAGAAAATCTGCTAAAAAAGATGCTAAAAAATTAAGTAGGGGTAGAAATTAATATAGAGGATCAAAAAATTCGAGACTAACTTATGGAGAAATAAATAAAACATAGCCTTTTAACACTTTACATACATACCATGTCACTATTGAAGTTTTTGTTGAAAGAAATCCTGGAAACAGCTTAGTTAAGTCAATGTATTTATTATAACTATTTTAAAATACATTTAATCACGATCATTGTGGTGGTAAGTACCAGTTTGACTATCAAACAAAGACATTTTGAGCCTTTTACACTTAGCCCTTCTATTTTTAAACCAGAATTGAACGTTTTTTGGTTCTAACCTAGGAAATTTTTGTCGATAGGCCATGCAATTTAATTCCTCTGTATATTTAAGAATCAAATTGTGTGAGGGGTGTGTATTAAGTGCAAACCACTGTTCTAACCTTGGAACTTCGGTAACAGGATCTATAAACGTGCGATTCCTCTTCCTTCGTTCGTCAGCAGTTAAACTGGCCATGGCAAGGGACGAGCTGGGAGGGGTGGTGGCCGGGTGGGATAATCCCGGCATATAATGACTCATATACATAATACTATGGCTAAACATGGAGTTTGGCAGGACCGGGAATCCCGCTGCTAATCTATCCAAACCGTCTGGGGTTCGGGGTATAAGCTGATTATCCACATCCGGCGGCGGGGAACAGTATCGTTGCATCAACGGCCGATTTCCTGCGGGCGATGGCGACGATTCGATCTCTTCGTCTTCTCCGTCCGACAGAGACGTTTTGGGGTTGACGTGGTCTCCAGGTTGGTTAAATATCGGCTCATCTTTGGGCTCTTCTTTGCAATTTTCAATCTGTAACAGTCAGTTGCTTACTTTCCAAGCTGCACAGGGAGCTGTAAAAGGGAGCGCTCACGTTATTGCATTTATTAACAGCCGTTTAGCTCTTAGAATGTTTCCACGATTCATTACGTACAAAATAATTATTAAAAAATTTTAATTTAAATAAATTTATGTTTGGAATAATTTATATTTTAAATTGTCAATAATTTTTTGGGTAGAACTGCTTTATAAATAGTTAATATTTGCTTGGAAATTTTATAAATAAAATATGAGGAGTATTTCTGTGGCTCTCGAGTAAAAGGGCATATCTATGCAAAATGAAATTGTTCAGGAGACGAAATTGAAAGTTCAACATTTTTCTAAAATCAAATGTGTTACTTTAGCCGTTGTTTGGCATATTTTAATGAAAGAGAGTCTAATAAACTAACTTTTGCTGCATATAAACAATTCATACCTTATTCTAATTTGAAGTTATTAGTAGTTTTCTTCATCAGGGTGCTCAGATATATCCTTTTACTCAAATTTAAATGTTAATATATATGACATATACAATAGTTTGTACTAACCCAATGCTGAAAGGCTGATATTAATAAAACTGCTTATTTACTATTAATGGTTTCTATTGTAATCAAGAATAGAAAAGAAGGTGAATATTAAAATTAAATTATTGTACGCTACAGAAAGGGGTCATTCATCACTTTCTTCTCCATCCAGTAAGACGTCTTCAACGTTTTCATCTGATGGAATAGACCCATAGTAGTCGTGGAAGATATCGGGTATTAGCGACAGCATGTCAATGAGGTCCTTCTTCTTATTTGCTGAGATAGCGAGAGGACCACCGTAGGACAGTTCAAGGACAGTCAACGACGAATCCGGATCCAGTGTCTCCTTGTAAAGGACTTTTGCTGTCTCTTTTATGTAACGAAGCCACTTTTTCCTCCATGTAACTTTTTCCCCGTCTTCGTTTACTTTTTTATTTTGAAGTGCCAACTTGTACAAATCAGAGAATTGGAAAAAGTCTGACTGCTTCATTTCTGTCACAACAAAATGGTTTTTCTTCCCCGTCTGACGAACCGACTGCATAATCCAGTCGTGTGGCTGATATATTGGGATATTTGATTTTTTTTTCATTTTTTTTTATCATAACATGATCAGAGTCACACTCCATATGAGTGTGACCAGGAACTAGAAATTTGTGGTCAATCATCTATAGAGTTGAATGGTCGTTTATGACAGATATGAACATGGCAGCTACATGCGAGTTCTTATTCTGTCCTTCACATTTGTCTGACCACAAAATACCCTCTTCACATGTGGTGGAAGATTCCAGAGATGCTTCTGTAAACACGAAGCAATTTGGTTGCCTCCTCTTGCAGCTACTACTTCATTCCACATGTAGCAGTGCGCTTGATTATTCTGTGCAATCGTGCACAGTTCCCTTTTAGAGAAAACGACTAAAGTTTCTAATTGAGGAATTGGCAAGCATTGCTGCAAATCAAATACAAGTGTTTTATTACGCTCATCAACCAAACTTTTATCATTCCGTTTTGCCTCATATGCTTGATCTGTCATGTCGTAGTGCTGCTGTAGCTGGATTTCAAAAGCATCTTTTTTTATCCAGTGTTATAGATATCTTCATTTTTATCTTGTCACAGGTGTTGCATGTGTCTTTGTTAGAAGATTTAATTGCCAAGTTCAGCCCGTGAAATATCCTTGTGTAAACTGATAGTCTAACTGGTTTGAACATTGCCTCTATCTTTGCTTTATATTCGGCGTGGCATTTTATTATAGGGTAATGGCTACTTTTTTTTAAAGCGCTTGTTAAAAACTTCGTCGTTTCACCAAAGGTATATAGGAAGCATTTCTTACAAACAAGCTAAAGATTTCCATTAATGCGTAGGCTGTACTTATGAGTTAAATTGCGATTTTTTTGTGCTCCTGTTATTTTTTATTATTCTAGCTAAGCTAATTCTTTTTTCTTTTGCGATTCATTTCTGAAAGGGATAGCAGATTTCACGCGAAGAGCAGGAATCAGATGATTCAACGTCCACTGGTCGCCTAGCAGGTGGTTGATTGACGTGATATCTTCGTCTTTTTACATTTATTTTAAACACCTTATACTGATTAAGTTTAGGTAAATTATTAGAGGAAAATATGTCTAAATATCTCCTTTTACTCTAATGATAATTAGTAAATATTGTGCATCTGATTCCAGTAAACGAAAATATCTCTAGATATCCCTTTTTACCCAAACATAATTCTTGCATTCTTGGTTCATATATGATTTAGGTAAAGAGAATTATCTACTAATATAACATTTTACCCGAATTTATTTTGTAAATACATTTGGAAACTAAAGCATATCTGGAATTATTCCTCTCTACTCCATTGTAAACGTTCATTTTGTTAAATGACTCCCTTTACACATGTCAAAATCTAATGGAATTATTTAAACTGTAGATATATCCTTTTACCTAAATGAAGAGCAGAAAATTTACTTTATTTTTATATTTTTAACTCATTTCGGGAAAAAATTCGAGATATGCCTCTTTACCCGAGAGCCACGGATTTATACATACATTATTATGGAAATATGAGAAATCTTTTTTATATCTTTATTATGTTTAAAGTTTAAAACTTTCACTACGGATTGTTAATAAAAAAATGTACTAGTTACTTCTGATCGACAATAAAAATTGAGTTAACCAATAATCGTAATTTAAAAAGACATCAGTAATTCGGGTATTAGAAATAAAGGGAAAGGAGAAGGAAATGAGAAAGCTCTTTAAAAAGGTCAGAGTTCTGCCTGAACAGGCACCTGTCTAGGATTACTTTGAAGCAGTAGATCGCAGTTGGCCCATCTGATACCACACAACCAAGCTACTAACTGGAAACTGCTCAACATATCTTCAAAAACACAGCCAGAATTGGAAAACCAAGTACAAAAATTTACATAATTAATACTACAATAGTATTTAATACATATGAACCAACTCCACCATTGATCAGAACCTAAAACAGTAGTCACTGCACTCCTAGTATAATAGAGAAGATTAAAGAAAATCACTACCTATGAAAGGTTTAGCAAAAGAAGACATCCTGAAGACAAAACAAACCATAACAGGGCAGCCAAACGCTTAAAAGACTACCAAGATCAAGAGCTTCCAAAACTATGTCAAAAAGCTAACGTCAACAAAAATTACAGCTTATGGAAAGCAACTAGAAATTAAAAAACCCAAAAAACGTATCCTACCTATAAGTAAACCTGATGGAAATTGGAGAAAAACAAATAAAGAGGAAGCAGAAATTTTCGTTTCACACCTTGAAACAGTTTTTAAACCTCTCTCAGCACGAAAAGATTCAGATGACGAAATCATAGCATTTCTTGATTCAAAAACACCATCAGATGTACAAATACAACATATTACACCAAAATGGGAAAATCCTGGCTTGAAATCAAAGCACTAGCCAGAAATAGAGTTCGCTGGAGACACTTTGTGGAAGCCCTATGTTCCTCTTAGGAATCTTGGGACTATATATATACACCAAATGAGGTATAGTGCATTACAAAAACAGATAGATTAAACGCCGCAGCTGCATGACAGGGATAGTAGCTTATTCCATTTGTGCAATATATACATCGACCATTTTGAGTTTTGATGCGGTTAAGTATGCACCTGGTTTTACGTGGTTGATCACACCCAGGAGGTTTTTCTGTAATGCAAGGTATTGTATTTAGTCGATATTCCGACCATTTGGTGATCATGTTAAATTCTATTCCTGTGGAAACTGGTAGTCAATGGCTACTGTGCCCAGTCCGTATGCAGTCTGTTTTTACATATACAGAGATCTACTTTTTTTCCCAATGAGGCCTTGATTTTTTGTAATTTTTGTCACATCTCCAAGATCTAATAAGCATCTATTGTATATTTGCTGTCACTGTATTCTCCTGTCTTCTCCATGGTCTGACTTCTGGTCTTCTGCCTTACCATTCTACTCTTCAATACTTCATGTAAAATAAACTGAGTGGGGCAGTTCTCATTATTAACATGCTAATTGCCAATGGTTAATGAAGAATGCCCAATGGCTATATTAACTGCAAACATGACATAGGAACTGCAGCTGGATTATTAACTTTAGATTTATTGATCTAACATGACACGTACTATGCTTAATCGATAAATCACCAGACAGCCGCACCACAATTGGCTAATCATATGATAAAATTTATAAGCAGAGATCCCAAGGTATAACAATATGATGCACAGAGGATGCATGGTACACAAAAGATCCCCTTGAGAGTTAGGGAAAAATATTGGAATTCACAGCAACTGTTGCATGTTCATTAAAAGCAGTCCTAAAACTATAAATTGTAGTCGATAAAATAATGAAATGAAAAGTAGAAAATGACACTCAAACATAAAAATATTTACCCTACAGAAACAACCTAACAAAAAAAAACAAGGCAACACATCCTGATCAAATTGAGTCGTACGCTCTAAGTATTAAGATAATAACAGGACTGACCAATAACTAACAATCCTATATTGTGCATTCCGGGAAAATAATTCAGGAAGCATTGGAAGAATCACCAACAGCTTCAAATATAAACGGTGACACAAACAATACACAATTTGCAGATGACACAGTCCTAATAGTAGAGTATTTGGAGGGTCTACAATAAATAGTTGATAATACCAATAAAGACAACGGCAGATTTCAAGATAAAAAAGAACATAGTATATGTAGATGCCAAAAATATAAAATCACAAAAGAGCTTAAAAATAGATGCCCAAAGAACTGCAGGATTGTAGTCCGTATAGGCACAGATAAGCGCACTTAATAGTCACATAAGTGACACTTTTATCACTGCTATAAAAATGCAGGATATATCGTAGTAGATATTTTTTTCATAATAACAAACAAATTAGAATTACTTATTATAAATAAAAAGAAAATTAAAACAAACATGAAAATATACCGGTTTATTATATATATATTATATATATATATATATATATATATATATATATATATATATATATATATATATATATATATATATATATATATATATATATATTTAGGGTTTATTCCATGTGTGAAATGAATCGTGGAATTAGTCTAACAGTTAAACTTTTGCAATATCGTTGTCGCTGTCCATAGATGTCGACAGTAATTCAAAACATAAATAAAAAAGGGTAATGTTAGTAAGTTAGTACTATGTTAGGCTAACTCTTCGGTGGCTCAATGTAATGCTACCTAGTAAATCCATTAGATTATATACCTAAAAAATTATTGGGATTTTGGCTGCTTATTATTAGAAATAAGTGATAGAAAGGACTATTTGCGTAGGTTTTTCAGACAGATACTCTCCTAAGATTAAACTAACAACTATTTAACAGTAACTGAACAAATAAGGAGGTCTTAGATTGGCAGAAGAGATAATACTGAAAGGATGTCTTATAGTTATACAGGGTGTTTCAAAAAGGTATGTCATAAATTAAATCACGCATTTCGGGGACAAAAATAAATTGATTGAATTCAACTTAAGTTAGTACAAAAATGTACACAAAAAAAGTTACAGAACTTTAAATTTACAAAATAATTTTTTTTCTGCAATATCTCCTAAACTGCTTGACATTTTGTAATAAAACTGGACACGATGCTTTCTTGTTTTGAAAACATTTTTCATAAAAAAGAAACAACAAAATCAAAGCGCACAGAAAAATTTTAAGGGGGTGTGCTACCCTAAATCCCCCCAAACTTTTGAGTACGTTCAAATCAAATGAATTTGGTGGCATCATTAGTTTAATACATTATTTCTTAAACTTTTTTGCCTATTGATTTTGGATTTTTTTGTTTCATTTGTATGAAAAATGCTTTCAGAACAAGAAAGTAACGTTTTGGGTACACTTTTGTACTAAGGTACCTAAGTTGGATTTAATCGATTTAGTTTTGTTTCCGGAATGCGTGATTTAAGACATACCTTTTTGAAACACCCTGTATAAACTATATCCACCAAAATTTACGAAGTATGCACCAAATGAAGTAGCAAAAGAACATGGAGAAACATTTTACTTATCATTCCTCCATAGAATTAAACATATAAAAACTGCCTTAAAATGTGATTACGTTCAAAGATGTGTCTCAGGAAACTTGCAAAAAAAATTTTTCCTACATTTTTAGTGAACTTACTTCAGTTAAAGTCGCCAACCTGTGTAGTATAAAAGCTGTATTCCCACTTTAAAGTTATTTACATGCGGGATGTTTTTCACTTACCCTTATTTTTATTGTAGAGTTTTAAACGAGAAAGAAAGTTTTGTAGAGAAGAAAGAGCTATCTGTCTAAGGGATCTTGCAAGAAAACTTATTTAAGTTAAATTCGACACCCTGTATATGATACAAGTTGTTTTTACAACTTGAAATTTCTTTTTATGTTGGTTGTCAGCTTCATCCTGAGTTTTCTTTTATAATGTTTAACATAATTTCTTGTTTTTCAATATTTTTGACAATCTTTCCCTATTTTTATCATTTTTCTTATTGTTCAATAACAGTAGTTTGTAAGTTGACAAGGATGAGACAAGAATGCTGTTTACCAACATTGTCAAGATTTATATAAACATTTTTACAAGAAACGTAGTAAAATGATAAAAATTGGGGAGAATTTTGTAAACGACCAGCTTGTTCCAGAAGGACCGCACAATCACAAATCAGTTAAACTCATTATTACAGGATAAAATATAAAAAGATACCGATCTATAACGTAGTGATGGATCTGGTAGTGAACAATAGAGTCAAATTAATAAAAATCAAAAAGAAAAGTAATCGCAGAAAAAAGCATTTTTTGGCGAAGGTGCTGCACAAACATATTGTGAAATAAAATTAATAAGGACAGACTCAAAGAAATAGTCAATTTATAAGCAACTCTTACCGACATTATAGAGAAAAAATAAATAGCTGTTCTTATAAGACCATATGGAAGATATAAAGCACATCAAAACAAGAAAGCTGGAATATTTAAGCCACATTAAGAGAGTGATAGCTGTAGCTCACTAGATCTTTTTAGAGCAGCCGCCAATAAGGTACGGATATCTGTGATGATAGCCAACCTCCGATAGGAGAAGGAACTACAAGAAGAAGAATAAGACCATATAAGAAGAAGTGCTAATAATAGATTACTAATCCTCAAGAGGTTAAGAAAAAGTAGAACACAAGTGATTTTAGTGAATTTGTCTTAAACTATGATATGTCTTCATTGATTCTTAGATTGCTCAACTTAGCTTCGATTCCAATTTCTTGAAACAATATTCATCATTAGTGCTCTTTTCACTGTAGCCAATAAAATGTTCAGCATTCGCTGATGATATTGTTTTTGAGCAATTTTATTTTTTACTTTAAACTCTCGTCTTTTAAAAAACAAGATGCGTGTTTTCATTTATCTTGTGTTACTAAAGTTATAATTACCAAAAACAGTAACGTAGGAACATACTACCTACTTGTATGTCCGGTGGGGGTGGAGGGGTAGAAGATCGAGGGCTAGCCTCCCTGGAATCCTTACGGGTGGTGAGCGACAAGGGTCCCGTGGGACTGGAAGGTTGGACCTCGTTCATATCTTCGTCTTCCATATCAGATCCGGCATTGGAAAATTCGTCAGATGTGTGAGAATTTTGCAACTGTCTTCTAGCCAGACTATTTTTCAGCCTGTGTTCAGCTAGTCTATCGGAATTTAGGTAGCTGTCAGCTAACAGAAACCCCCCGCCATTCGTAGGACTGTGATTGCTATATCCATTCACACCCATGTGACATTGCAAGTTAGGAGTTGACACATTCCTTATTTCAGCCCTTTTCTGGGCAGCTCTAGCGTTTTTAAACCAGTAAACAACATTATTAATGTCCAAGGGTTTCCTACCCCTACGGGACTCCAAGCTATTTAGTTCCTTAACATATTGCTGAATTTGTTGCCTACTTGGATGCTGGTTCTCTGTAAACCATCTCTGCAATTTTGGAAGCTCTAGCTCTGGATCAAAACTGGTCCTCATTCTTGTCTTTTGCGTTGGAAATTGACTGTGTACAGTTTGCATTGCCGGATGGGTTTCAGGCAACCCTCGTTCCATTGGTGTAGCAGCCTGAGGTGGAACTGAATACTGATTAGGGTAAGATGGCACGAACTGGGATCTTCCAGCTGGTGACTGGGGATTTATTTGTGTTGTCCACCACTGGTCAAACTTGCGACGATTTTCTTCCGAGATCTCCGGAAGAGGGCCTGCGGAGGGGTTTGTACTCCGGCACAGTTGAGATAGAAGAATCTGAAACAATGATTCAATTCAGTTCATTCGTTAAACAAAAAGTACTTTTAGAAATTGCTTACTACTTATTACTTTTAGAAAATTTTATTTAGTTGATCATGTAGTAAAACAAAACTCTAAAAAATTGATATCATGTTTCCTTAATTTGATTTTTAAACATATCTCTTTATACAAATAGCAAATACATTTTTGCTAATTTATTAGAATTCCGGCAATGTTTTGTTAGAGAAATCCTTACTAAATATCAGTATATTACGATATTAAAAATATAACTATACACAATATGTAAACAGTATATCTACACACACACACACATATATATATATATATATATATATATATATATATATATATATATATATATATATATATATAATGTATTCCCCTAATAGATTCTAATTTGTTTGCAACATTGTTTCGACATGTTTACTAACCTTGACAAACCGATTATCGACAAACTCGCAATTTTTCAAGACAAAATTATCTGTCTACAACAAGTAACATTGATTTTACTTTAAGGTATCTACTAGGACAAGCCACTGACGTAGTTGCTAATAGCTAGGCTTAGCTAATCTCACTAACTACATTGTGCATTTCAAGGAAATTTCAACTGCATATCAACATACTGTTTAACAGCTATAAATAATTCTAAATGCAACAATGTCAATTGAGGTAGAGCTATGTGATAGGTGAACATATCAGTTTTAACAGATTTACTAAAAACTAGAAGCCATTTTAATTTGTGCTTATAATAAATATCTTCATAATTTTTTATAACGGAAGTAGAGGGAGTGGGAAATTTATGATCTAAAAGGGAATTATCTAAAATTACTTTAGACAAATAAATTAAGTTAAATACTATGTGTACATGGGATTGAGCCACAATTCATTGTAATGACAATTACATTGTGTCAAAAAATATGACTTTTCGATTTTCACTCCGGAAATCGTTCTCAAAAAAATATTATTAAATAATTTTGTTAGAAAACAATGTATATCTACAAAATTATTGACAACACGAAGTCAACACTCCTAAAAAAAATTTCTAAATACAAGAATATGTGAAGAACGGCTGTTAGTTTCCAGAATATAGATCTGTAGGTATATTATAACGAAATAGTAACTGCTCTGAGAGACGCTGTAGAAAGATTTTGTAGCAAACTAAATACAACATCTAATTTAATCAGTTACTACAAAAACGAGCTTATTTAAAAACTAAAGACGAATCAAATAGAAAGACAGAGCAGAATACAGACAGAAAAGCAAAAAAATATCAAAAGAGATCGGGAAAATGTATGAAAATTAGCAGAATACAAGATTAAAACCCGAGCTACAGCTTTCTCGATGTGGAAATGGTCCTAGATCACAAACTTATCAAGTTTATGTAACATCTCTATTCTAGTGATTAAGTAACTCTAATTTCCTACCTGATGATGGGCTGGAAATAAACTGGAAAGTGAGATAGCTTAAAAAAATACAGCATATAACAAACTTAGTACCTATTAAAAACCATATCCATTAATAAAATCATAAATAAACAGTGTTTCTTTTAAATTTGCTGAGATAACGTGAATTGAAATTTAAAAAAAAATGCTTAACATCCTGTATAGTTGTTATGACTAGTGGTAAAAACCGCAGGTTTTCAAATATAAACAAAACATTTATTACAAATCTCTCCACTCATTTCGTACATTAGGGATTACTAGACTAGAGCCACTCTGTTTTTCGAACATTTCAGCAGCTTATCCCATTCCTTTTTATCCACAAAGCTGCATGAACTGATTCAAAAATCCGTGGAACAGATATTCGAGCGTGGAGCAACGAGTGGGCTAACGACGAGCTTATAAATCATAACACTTTGTGCTTTTCATTTGAATAGTAGCTGAACCTGAGATAAATCCGGGAAATAGGGTTTTCAACGTCTGCTTTTAAGCACCTAATCTCGCTACACATAAACATTTGCTAATATATGCTTCTTATTATTCCCATCTTATCTTCAAATCTCTGTTAACCGACTAATTCGGGAGTTTTCCTCATTTTAATCTTGGTAATTATATAAACTTTACCCTTGTGTATACGAGGATAACCTTTCGAATGTGAAGAGTATCTTTAATAATATATCTTTGTTGAAAAAGGTTTTATATTTTAACATTTATGAACATAAAATAAATATTTTTTGACAAACCACGTATATGACTGAAAAAGTTAATGTCTGATCTAGGTGGTAGATCATTCACAACTTTTTATAAAGAATAACTGTTTTTCATAAAACTAAAAGTATTTCTCCATATGGTGTAGACCTAATTGGACCGTATAGGAAACTATATTGTACAGACCAGACTTATACAAAAAAATGTTGTGATTCTTCTCTTTTATCGTTTATTAATGCAATGTCGTTTGTATATCTCAATTTTATTCAAGTATTTCCATTTATGTTAATACCCCGTTTTCCCGTTGTAATTTCCTCATGACGTCTTCCAAAGCTTGATTGAATAGTTTTCGTGATATAGTGTCACCCTGTCTGACTCCTCGCCGTATCTTAATAGGCTCTGTTTGTTCAACTATTTTAATGGAATTTGTTACTTGATCATAGATATTGGAAATTAAATCCGTATATCTATAGTCTATTCTCCCATTTTGTAAAGAGTTCTTTACTGCCCAATGTTCAACCTTATCGAATGCTTTTTCAAAGTCTACAAATGCCATATTCATTGGGATTTAATATTCGTTGTCCTTTTCAATTAATATTTTTATTATAAGCAGATGGTCGCTTGTACTAAATGCCTTTTCTAAAACCGGCAAATCCGGTAACTCCATCAAATCGGCAAAGACATATCCAGGAACAGATGTGTCATCAGACCACAATCCAGTAATCGTAAAATTTGAAATTCACTTAAAGAAAATAAAAAATCAACCAAAGACACAATAAATAAGCACTCTGCTAAAACACCCGAATATAAAAGCAGAAATAAAGTTGAAAATTAACGAAGAGTTAAGCAAAACAATAATCATTGATAATGAAAATTCCAACGAAAAATGGGAATCATTTAAGAACACATTAATGATTTTAATTTTATACCTCATAAAATTTATCAACGCTATTATTTACATCTGTCCCATCAATAATCCTATCCCAGTCGCCTGACCCTAAATATTCATTATAAAGGATATAATTAGTATTTTTAAAGTCAAAATAGAAATAAACATAGCTAAGAGAGTCAAAAATATCATTTCCAATAATGTCAAAGAACAAGGCTGGATGATGGCTATCACATTTTAATAAAGATTGATCAGCAATTTTTAAGTCAATGTTATTTATACTAGGAAAAATAAGATCTACGAAAGCCCCATTACAGTTTAGTACATTACTTAATTGAAAGAGATTTAAAAAAGCAAAACTTTTTAAAATACATTCAACTTTGTTAGTAATATTCCCAATCGGTCTTGAACCATATTCATTATTTTCCCAATGAATATTTGGTAAGTTAAAATCACTCACTAGATATTCCAAACTGTATTGTATTTCATATAAAATACCTTCTACACAATTTACACAGTTTTCCAAATGAAAGTTCAACAAAAATACATTCACTGTGATATACTTCACTCACTACTACACTCACATAAAAACAGTTAAATCAGATAAATTCCTTATTATTACTCAATCAATTCCCTTCATATACTGTCAAAAATGTACACTTGCAACCCGATAGCTAAATTAATTAAAAACATGATGCAGCAGCTGAAAAACAAAACATTAGTTTTCGTGTGGGTACCATCACATATAGGCATTAAAGAAAACGAATTAGCTGATAAAAATGCTCGAGAAATAGAAAATTCCAAAATATCAGACCGATAATAAAACCATTAGCAGAAGATCTCAATCCGTACTTTAAACAAAAGCTGATATGTAATTGGACTAAATGTAAAGAAGAAAAATTCTCAAAGTTAAAAGAAATTAAACCAAATTTTGGACGATGGACTAACAACGCCCCTAACTGTTTCCTTCAGGTTGTATTAACCAGGCTCCGATTAGGACACAGCAAACTCACACATGAATATGTCGTGAAGAAGGAACCTCAACCAAAATGTACGAGTTGTGACGTGCCGTTAACAGTGAAACACGTATTAACGGAGTGTCCTCAATATAGTGCTGAAAGACTAACTAAATTCCATCAGTTATAAGGGACATTTTTAGTGAGTGTACCAGTCAAAATATTGTGAAATTTTAGAGACTGTAACATATTGAACCACATATAAGTATGTTATTTATTTGATATTTGTAATCATTATTGTTTTCATAAAATTCATCCGCTAATAACCAATATGGTTGATGCGGCAGCCTTTAAATAAAAAAAAATAAATAAAAGACACATGAACAATATGGATGTTGTTTATAAATAAAATAATTTTATAAAGTTGTGAGAAGAAAAAAGAAAATTATGTATATTAAATTCGTTATGTTAGGTTACGCTAGTAGTTTTAGTATAAGGTTTAGAGTCTAAATGAAAGATCCTATATGGATGAACCGATAGGTCTACCAAAAAATTTTAAATAATATATATCATTAGAACCAAAAAAAATATGTACCAAATTTCCATTTTACCATTTAAAAATTTCCCCTAAAACAAGAGACTGTGTTCTATAATTCTAAGAGACAATTAAGTTCTATTTTTTAGTCCAATTTTGAATCTGAAAATATTTTTTTGTGCCCCGTATACGTGTTACGAGTCGAGTTAAGAAAAAAATTAAGTTAAGCAGGATTTTCCTTGCTCTATGATGTAAAAGGCTTTTGATCTCATTAATACCATCAAATAATGCTAAATAATCTTATTAGAAGCAGGGTTACTGCCATTCTCTGCACCCTTAATACATTCGTTCTCATATTATAATTCTTAAGGCGGCGCCATGCGCGAGCCCGCTATAACCAACTCCTTTGGCATAATGCTCTCTCTATTACAATATGCACATTATTAAAGAAAATACTAGGCTTCAATTTGCAATTCCTTATGCATTTATGAACAGCTACCATCAGACCTGGCTTATTGTGCTTTATCAAACAAAATGCACTATAATATATCTCGACATACTCCACCTACAGAAACGTTCAAAAAGTAGAAAACATAATCTACACGATTTGCGTCCTTAAGTTACATTGCAATAAGATAAAAGTGTCTTTTGAGAGTCTGTTGGTATATAATATGATATTTTGCATATAACCTGTTGGTAAAAAACGTATTTCATTCAATCAGTATTATGTTTAAACTAAGGTATTGGCAATAGTGCATGACACGAATGCCAGATTGTCATATATTAAGTGCAAAAACACTTACTTAAACCATTTACCCCTAAAAAACGCTTAGAAACGGAATATAACAACTAATTTTTTTGCACTTCTACTGCAGCAAACCTTTTTTATTCGATTTTATATATTTTTTAAGTTCAAATGTATTTTTTTTTAAATTTCTCTGAGTGGGCTAAAAATTGTTAATAACAAATAACAAAAAAACAATTTCTCAAATCACTTAAGTAGTATATATATATATATATATATATATATATATATATATATATATATGCAACTTTAATAAATTTTAAATTATTGTTTTCTTTTTGACTTTTTGTAAGCTTTGTCCATAAAATTGTAAAATGTTCAGTGACAATAAAGCATAATTCTATTCTAATGCAGTTAGTAGTTTTTTGAAAAAAAATTAACAAAAAATCACTAATTAAGGCATTTTTTCAACAAAAAATTGCATATAACTAGAAAAATAATTATTTTTCGAAAAATTACCAAAATAGAAAAATTTCGATGAGATATGCCTAAAAAACTTTTACTCACAACGATTTGGGAAATTATTTGTTAATAACAATTTCCGAACCACTTGGAAAAATTAAAAAAAATACATTTAGTATATTTTTATTTATGATTTCTTCTTTCATCAATAAGAAATACCATAGGTCTTAGGATATGCCCTCTCTTCCTGGAGAATTCAGATGGGGAACTTACTTTCCGTATTTCTATTTTTATTTTTCAGGTTTATTATTTTTTAGAACTGTTAACTGTATATTGTTTGTTTAGAACATTTTGGTAATTACCTAATTGCAATAAAACAAATAAACATTTTTGTACAAATAAAAATACCTTACCTCGTCCAAAGGGCATCCAGATGATAACAGCAATCCGTGTGACTGTAGCAGCAAAAATCTGAGCAGCTTATCCTTAATCTCGTTGAGAACTCCAGGTCTTCCTCTAAAAACCTGTATTCTTAACGTAGCTACGGTGGAAAGTTCCCCCAATATATCCCCAACTGTAATAAGAGGGTCATCAGAAATCTGATCAAAGCTGAGAGCTTTCCAATTCTTGATAAGTATCGAGCCTTTGGCTGCAGCTGCACTTTCTGAAGAGTATCCTAAGCGGAAAAGAGCTGCCTGAACTAGATTGTGGAAAGGGGTTCCTACAGGAATTATGACGTATGTATCTATTTCGATCATTGGGCGCCTTCTCCAGACTCCATGTTGCAATGTTCGGCTTTCTTCTAATGAACATATAGCTTCTACTATACAGTGGACTGGTAGAGATTTTGCTGAAATAAAAAAGGATGTTAGAAACATGATTGATACTCCATTAATAAAACTATATAACAAACATCTTATTAAAGAGATCAAAGAACAAATTATTTAAAATGACCAACTATCTCAGAATTAAGAAAACAGCAAATCAATGGTGACAGTATACATGAATTTTTCCAGTAAACCAGCAGGAGAATCTAATCCGAAGTAATTAAATCGATATGATATAGCAGGTCTGTGACATTGAGATGGCAATTTCTAGCACCAACACATGGTCTCATAAGTGACGTTCTGGAGACCTCGAGAAACAAAAAGAAGCGTGGGAAGATCCAAAAAGAGATGGATAGACGATATAACAGCTGTAGCTGAAAAGCAGTGGTTAAGAATTGCAAAAGATAGGAAAGCGTGGAAGCAATTGGAGGAGGCCTATGTCCAAAAATGGATAAATGAAGGCCGAAGAAGAAGAAGAAGAAGATATAGCAGGTATATCAGCAGATTCAATGAGCGGTATTTAACAGATTTATAAAGTAAAAAAAGCAAAAAAATAACGACAGAAAATTCTTTTTTTGGCTGTTAACTTTCATAAAAGTATAGTGATTGTATAGTCATTTTTAATTGCTCCGGTTGTGAGGCTCCATTCTTCTCTATTTTGGTACGAGTTTTTTTTTGTAGTGGTTTTCTATATCCAAGATCTTGATATCTGATAAATAAAAAGTGTAACCTGTTGTGTTGGAATTGTGTGCTGCTGCACAAGATTTTTTTTTTGTTTTGCAATCACTTTTGTGCTGCGTCATTCTTTGTTTTATTCACTGGGATGTTTGCCCTATATATTGCCAATCACACTCGAGACAAGAAAGTTGGTAAATGGAATTTCAACGAGTAGCTTGATGTTATTTAAGCCGCTTACATCAGTTAACTTTTTGAAAATAACGGGATCTATTGGTCTGTTATCACAGATCAATCTATAATCAGAATATATAATAAAAACTGATTTAAATCTACCATAAACAAATATAAATGCTTCTGTTTATATTATAGCTAGGTTAATTTAGAAAATAATGGTTTAAAAAATTATATATATTTCATTTTATTATTAAAACTCTGAACTCGCGATTTACACTTATTCAAATGACAATTATGTGTCATATTCTCCGAATACACCGCCTACTTTGCATCTCAAAATGCCGTCTCCGTCTGCTATCAATTGATCGTTCTTATCAAGGGGTTACTTTTCGTGGTACACATTCCATTAAATTCAGGTTGAGCCCCGAAAGTATCGAATCATCTGCCCTTATGCCGCCTTCTTATTCTTTATCTTTCCATCGACTTTTTACTTCATGATGACGGATCATTTGCTAACTGAGATATGCCACTGCATGAATTAATGTTTCTTTTTGAACAGGGACAAACTTTAACGTCGAGCCTTTTAAAATAAATGAGAATTTTTAATATAATTATTTGATACAGATGTTTCACGTATAATTAGTATGAAGCTCTACCTACACATAATTTCTTCTTCTTCAAACTCTTTCTGTTTAACATTAAAACTATGTAACAGCTTTTCAAGATCGTTGGCATTCTTCGCTAGCAAGACAGCTTAGTTGATATAACACAACATAGTCTCACATTCGCATTCCCAATTCTCAATTTCCGATATGTCATTTTTCTTTGAGCTCTTCCATTATTATTTCATCTAGACCGAAGTCTTGGTACTTAAATGGTAATGGGCTAAATTAGTGAATCACTTTGTTCCCTGTACAACGAGGGATTTACCGTGTGAATTTTTATGATGCACAATAATTTGGTAGCATTCTTCAGCTTAATTCTGTCAAACACTTTCTGTAAGTCTAAGAAACACAGGCATGTAGGGCAGACCGGGGTCGGAAGTAACAGGCGGCGAAAGTAAGAACTCTGTTAGATCGCTCTCTATATGGGCTATTAAAAAAAGCAATTAATTTGGGCTGCGATTCATGGATGCCAAGCAATCTAGGGAAAACTATGACCATTTATAATATCCGTATTAGAGTATCTACAGTACTTTCGATGGCACTGATATCCAGCAACATCCAAGCAGCCTTTAGATGCACTTAGGAATATTTTCTTTTAACAGGAATATATTTACATCTTAAGATAAGGCACCGTCTTATGTTACAGATCGGCCTCCACCAGCAAATAAAGCGACCAACGATGTTAAAATTAGCACGACAGAATCAGGAAAAAGAGACGATGAATCTACACCAGATAACCAGTGTTTCTTCTGCTGAGAAGTTTACACCGGAAGCAGTCAGACCTTTTCCCGCCTAGAAAAGAAGGAAATAAAGGAAAAAAGAAAAGAAAATTGGCTATATATACAGATACACCTGAAAAGGAATAAATTAGGGCAGAATATGAAGAGAAGAAGAAAAAAAGCGGTAAGAAAAATTGTTCTTACCCTAAACTAAAATCAAAAATCTTAAAAAAAGAAATCATTTAAAAAACAACAAGATAGTGATAAAGAAGATGAAGAGTGTTTTTGCCTTGTATGTGAACCATATGGTTCAAGTAAGCCAGGGGAAGGTTGGGTTCAATGCATTGAATGTAAACGTTTGTCACATGAAGAATGCACAAGCCAAGAATGTTCATACGCTTGCCATAATTGCGAATCAGATTTATGCATAATTTGTTAGGTTCACTGTTTCTCTCCATATAGCATAAAATTCGTTAGGTTAAGTTCACTGTTCCTCCTGGTAAAGCATAAGTTTTTGTTTTTATTTTACGTAAGAATATAACTTCTTTTGTACTTTTGTATAACTTTTGTATTTACATTGAATAAACATAATTTATTTAAGCTTTTGACCACTGTTACTATCGACCCCACGTGATGTTACAACCGCCCCGGGGTTGGGGACAGTTGTAACATTTGCCGCTACGACAATTTTTACAAATAATTAAAAACTATAATTATTTAAAAACCTTAATAACCCATTTTAATATTGCTTAAATATGCAATTAAGACGTGAACGAGAAAAATTGTTTATATCCGTTATAGTTTTCCCGAAATTGGTGTTTGAATTAAAAATGTTAGCTTCGACCTCGGTCTATCCCACAGGAATTTATTGATTAATAAAAAAAACGTATATACATGACCTCCCGATGGAGATTACTTTTGTTTTTTGATAATATTGTGAAAATATTCGAAAATTCGTGAAAATTTTGTTAGTGATCAATTTGGTGGACAATTTTACAACTGTGTTCTAAAGATTTAAACTGCTATAATTAGAAGAAACCTGTACGAAAATAGAAACCATTATACTTAATACCCAGTTTTTTGGGTTTCTATTATGTTCAAGGATATTTTAGAATAATTTTGTAATTTCTTCTACCAATACCTCTCTACTTATTTTAGCACTATATTCTATATTTTACTTCGATGACTCTTTGAAAAATATCGTTCCTGCAGTAGAAATATTGCAATAGCAGATTTTAAAAAGTTCAGATAACACAAAGCAAAACATGCAGAAATGCATATCAAGAAAATTCAAAGGGTGTAAGAGAAGCAGTTTTTTGACAGACAAAAATAAATAGAAAATCTGGATAAAAAAAACCAAGATAGTACAATACTTAAAAATAGAAGATAATAGGATCGTCAGCGTATCTATGATTATTAATTAGTTCTCAATTTATTTTTACTCCAGAGTCTTTATATTGCTAAGCCTGTTTGAAAATGATATCCGATTAGATATTAAGTAACAGCAGAGATATAATGCATCACTATCTGATGCTTCTTTGAATGTAACATTAGTCGGTTAATCTCCTATCTACTCGTATGATTGCTTTCTGCTTCCAATATAAGTTTGTTTATGATATATAGGTCTCTATCGTCGATACTTTTGACTTTTAATGTGTACACAAGCGTTCCAAGGCCAGGAAGTATCTACATTTAAGTCAAAAAGTCCCTGATAACTAAATTGTTTTAAATAATTGATATGAGGTTGAATGCTCGAATAAATAAACTTTGAAAATTAAGGCAATTATATCGAGCACAAGTTTAATCAAATCTTGCCCAAGTACTTTCGCTTAATATAGCATCTTCAGGAAATTCTTCTTCTTCTTGTAGTGCCTATCCGTTTCGGATGTTGGCGACTGTCATGGCAATCTGCACTTTGCACACTGCTGCTCTAAAAAGATTTGTGGTTGTTGTGTTGAACCACGTTCGTAGATTTTTCAGCCAGGAAATCCCTCGCCTTCCTGGTCCCCGTTTTCCTTCTACTTTTCCCTGCAAGATTAGTTGCAGCAGTCCATATCTTTCGCTGTTCCTCATGATATGACCGAGGTATTCGATTTTGGCTGTTTTTATTGTGGTTAACAGCTCTTTTTCTTTTTTAATTCTCAACAGAACACCCTCATTAGTAACGTGGTCGGTATACGATATCTTCAGGATGCGACGATAAAGCCACATTTCAAAAGCCTCAATTTTTTTGCAGGTGGCGTCTGTGAGAGTCCATGACTCAACTCCGTACAACAGTATAGGAAAGATGTAACATCGTAGTAACCTGATTTTTATGGGCATTGATAAATCATGACATTTGAATAACTTAGCCATTTTTTGAAATGCAGATCTTGCTTTCTCTATTCTACATTTGATTTCTATGAAATATGGAAATGGTAGGTGTATGTGTATGTTTTTACTCTTCAGGGGTATTTCGTTAAATATGGGCTATCCAGCAAGCGTAGAATGTGATGAACATGAATGTTAACATAAAATTGTACAAACACTACACTAAAACAAGGACAAACATTTTAAAATTAGTTAAAATATTTCTACGCTCTACATTCTTTGGCGGTTACAGGAGAGAGAATCATTCTCTCTACTGTTACAAGAATTCTCTCTCCTGTTGCAAGAAACAAGAAGACTCTTTTGAGTGGCCTACCTTGTATATAATTTGATGTTATTAGTTTGATATATTTTGCTATTTTTTTTTTAAATAACAATTATTAAAAATATCGGACACCTTTCATTGACTGAAATTTTTAATATCCGTTTCGAAACATTTTAAGTCCGG